ATTGACATTGAGATGTTTTCACATGCATTTCTAATCTCTAAATATATGACTATTACTGGTCACAGTCGCTTACTTTCTGAGTTTCTTGGCATCTGAGCATGAATATAAACTCGTCAGATACACAGCCTTCCTCTCCCAATAGAGCCTCCATACTCTGCCATCCCTGCCACTGTCCACTGTGCTGTCAGCTCCCGCATTTTTTCCCCCCTATCTGCCCTTCTGGTAAATCTAGTCAGGCAGAGGTCCCTGTTCCAGGAGGATCAGCTGTTCCTTATCAACGGCAATCCATGCTTTTAGCTAAATTATATCTTGGGTGTTGGACCTTTCCCTTAAAATGTCAAAGCCAACTGTCTAGGTGTATGGCTCCTATGGTTTCTACCACAACTATTCAGTTCTACCATTAAGGCATCCAAGTAGCAATAAGTGATCCAAAGAGGAATGGGCATAGCTGTGCTAGAACTCTCTGTGGAACTAATACCTGGACCGTGGACTGAAACTCACTGGACCACAACCTATGAATGAGAGAAGTGGTGCTTTGCAGTGGCCACTGGGCTAGACCAGTGTTCAGGCCTTACCAAGTTAAAATTGGGAAGCTCAAGCAGGCAATAAGAGAAAATAAAACAGTCTTGTTCTCAGAAACTCCAGATATTCTGTGACACAACACGTTTTCTCATATTTCAGCAGCTTCTTAGAGTATTATTTTTTAAAACTACTTTTATTGATTTAAGGATTTTGTACAATGCATTTTGATCACATTCAGAACCCCTGCCTGCTCTCCATCCCCATCCTATTACCCCTTCTGACTTCATATCCTCTATTACTATTTCTTTCTCTTTTTAAAAGTCTGTAGAGTCTGTGTTTCCAAAATACCCTTGGATGTGGGTCTATCCCTTGGAGTCTGATCAGCCTACCAAGTGACACACCAGTAAGCTGACACTCCCTCCCCAGCAGCTATCAGTTGCCAATAGACCCTCAGCTAAGGCTGGGGCTTCTTACCTGCCGCCCCATCCTTGCTGGGCCCCTGTCTGACTTGGGTTGGCACAGGTCTTCTGCATGTTGACACAGCACTGTGGGTTCATATATGCAGCTACCCTGTAGTGTCCAGCAATGTGGTTTCCTTGTATTACCACCTCTGGCTCTTACAGTATTTCCACCTCCTATTCTTCAATGATCCCCAAGCCCTGAAAGAAGAGGGTGAGATATAGGTGTCCCATTTAGGACTGAGCACTCCACAGTCTGTTATTCTCTGCATGTTGACCAGCCATGGACCTCTGTTTAATCACCATCTGCTGCAAGAAGCTTCTCTGGTGAGAGCTGAGAGATGCACTAATCTGTGACTGTAATAATGTCATCAGGAGTCAGTTTAATACTACACTTATTTAGCAGAATAATAGTTGGTTCTTACCCATGGCCTGTGATCTGTCTAGCCACAGGTTCTTGGCCCTGATAACAATGTCAGGTATGGGCTTCATCTTGTGAAACAGGCATTAAATCCATTCAGAAGGTGATTGGTTACTTCCATAAAATTCATGCCACTATTTCACAGTTGGCATACTTTGCCAAGTCAGTTGTTATAGTAGCTCACAGGGTTCACAGGTGGGTAAGGCTGACGATTTCCTTTCTCTGCCAGTAACACTCATAGTGCTTTTTAGTACTCTGAAAGATAGCCAGTAGAGATTGTACCAGCTTGATTTTTCCTTGTTCATTCTATGACTCAGGAATGCATTGCCTTTAACAAAAAGTCATACTACCAATTTCTGGTGGGTAGCCAAGTACAGTGGAAATATGCAGTATTGTTCGAGGGTCTATGGAACCTTCTCAGTCAACAGCTTCAAAGTAGGGAGTTCATTCTGGCATTGGCATTTTCATTTGCTAGTCTATTGTGCCTATTAGGACCATTGAATTCTGTGACAGGGTGACTAAATTTAAAGTTTTTAAAAATATTTTATAGGCACATATTGAAAGAAGCTTCCATAGAAGGCTTCCATATAACTTTTTATTTTACTTTTTAATATTTTATGTATTATTTTTATTTTTATGTGTATGAGTGTATTTTTATTTTTATGTGTATGAGCGTATTGCCTGCATGTGTATAAGTGCATCCATGTTGGGCAATGCCTGTGGTGTAAGAAGAGGGCATTGTACTCCACTGGAACTAGAGTTATAGACAGTTTTTAGCCATCATGTGGATGCTGAGAATTGAACCCAGGTCCCCTGCAAAAGCAGATGTTGCTCTTAACCACCGAGCCGTCTCTCCAGTTCCCCATATAAATTTTCAAAAGGCCTTTAGTGTTAGTTATCCCTACTAATAGAGGCTTATTTAAGTAAGAGTTCCCTCCTTCCCCCATTTCCTCACAGTTGCCTCAGCAAGCAAACGATGGTGGAAGTGCTCATAGGTACCACCACCCCCAAGAAAGGCATCTATGAGTCCAGCTTAACTATGCTGTGCACGCAGAGTTTGTGGGAAAGTTCAGGGGAAGAACTACCAGCTCCAGAGCCTCATCATTGGTGAAGAGTTTTTTACAGCCCATGTTATGTAGCAAACTTTGGTGGTGGTATCAAAGTGCTCTCTGTTCTAAGTAGTATCAAGTATATGGTACTATATTCATGCCACATTGAAATATTGCATTGCTGTGTAAATCAGGCTAAATCTAGTTCTGGGTATGTCCAAGTCAGTCTGGCATACTCATACCAGTTTTTCCTGAGAGTCTCTCTTTTCCTGCTGGTTGTACTAGAACCCGAAATGGCCTGCCTGTGTTGCCTAATGAACTTGAACAAGGGCCTCTGCACTTCACTTTACTGGGGCTGCTGTTGTCTATGCTCTTGTCCAAAGGTTTCATCCAGCTTCTTACCTTGGTACCCAGCTGGGCCACAGAGCATTTCTTTAAGGCTCCCCAGCTCACTGTCCCAATATCTGCTTCCCATTTCATCTCTCATACAACTAATCAGAGGTGCTGTCAGTCCTGAGCATTGAGCAGAAGTGGAGTTCAATTTCCTCCAGTCTCTGAATTCATCATGATTGTCTGCTTCATTTTTGACTCAAGGAAATATTTCATTAAGGAAAAATGCATATTAATTTCCTTGGTAGCGCTGTACCATCAGGACTATAGCAGCTGCACATGAGATACCAAAGTCAAATTCACTAAGTTTTGGTCTAAGACCAAAACTGTTTTTTAAAACCTGTTTAGATATTTTTTATACCTATGTAGATTTTTCCTCTGGGCCTCAAATGCCTAAAACATTTACTATCTGGCATTTTAAAAATAAGTCTGCCAATTTCCATTCTAGATTCCCAAACAAAAACCTGAACTTGGTTACTCTAGTTCAGATTCTGAATCAGGAAAAGTCATTAACAGTCCCATCTTAAGCCAGAGATAAACCAAGGTAAAAAAATGTGGTCAGCAGCTGTATTTTCATGAACCAGCCTCTTTGTGTAGAGATTTCCTCTTCATATCTTCAAGGAGCCAGTCTCTTGTGCTTGAGCACAAGTCCCAGTAAAGAGATGATATTGTTTGCTTATTCCTGACTTATACTCTGTGTGTGCAAGTATGATATGTATGCATGCATATGCATTTGGGTGCCTGCATGTGTGTATGAAGATACATACATATGTAGATATGCATGTATGCAGTGACCAGAAGAGAGACAACCTGTGGTGTCATTCTTCTGGAGCTATCCACCTTCATTTTTTTTTCTGTTTCTCATTGAACTAGAACTTGCCAAGTAGGCTACACTAGCTAGCTGACTAATCTCAGGGATCTATCTATTTCTGCCTTCCAAACTCTGAAATTATGAGCACATATCACCACACCCTGTGTTTTTTTATGTGGGTTCTGGGGAGTAAGCTCAGACCCTTGTGCTTGGAAGGCAAGCAATTTACTGACTGAGTTATCGGCAAGTCCTCTTGATTTCTATTGTGACTGCGCAAAAGAGCTCACAAATGAGCTAGTAACCCTAAAGGCTGGTAATACAGGAAGATTGCTTATTGGTAACAGTACCCTATTTTCAAACCAGGAGAGTGCTAATTCAGAAGCATGAGGAGTCTACCCCAGTCTGTATATTCT